TTGTAGAGATGAGGTCTCGTCAAGTTGCCCAGGCGGGTCTCGAATCCGTGGGTTCAGGCAATCCACTCACCTCGGCCTCCCAAAGTGCTGGGATTACAGGCTGAGCCACTGACCCCGGCCAACATGCTTATCTTAAAAATACGACTTAAGGTCAGGGCGGTAGCTCACGCCTATAATCGAAACACTTTGGGAGACTGCGGAGGGAGGACTGCTTGAGCCCGGGCAACATGATGAGACGTCTCTACAAGAGAAAAAAACTAGCTGGGTGTGGTGGCATGTGCCTATAATCCCAGCTACTTGGGAGACTGGGGCGGAAGAACTGCTTGAGCTCAGGCGATCGAGGCCTTGATCGCGCCACGGCACTCCAGCCTTGTGACAAAGTGAGATCTCAACTCAGAAAGAAAAATGAACAAAACTTTTTAAAAAATCCAAAAGCATGATTTGCTAAAATTAAACGCGTCTTTCCAATGACCCCTCACGCCCTCCCCCATGCCCCGGCCTCATCGCAGTCCGTACCCCGAACGGCCCCCGTCACCCCAAGCCTCCCGCTGGCCCTGGGGCTGCAGCAGCCACTCCCAGCAGGGCAGAGTCCCCCAGCCCCCCCTCCGCTGCGGTGTCCCCAGCTCACCCTGTGTGATGACCTGGATGGTCCCCTTGGGGGAGCCAGCCCAGGCTTGCATCAGTGTTCCCAGGGCTTCTGCCAGACCAATCCAGGGCTTGGTGTGTGGAGAGAAGGCACTGGTGAGGGCCTGGGCATTCACCTGCGGGCAGAGGCGGGGAGCGCTGCGGTCAGGAGGGGCGGGGCGGGGGCACGCCTGCCGGCTCGGCTCCCGGTCGAGGTGGTGCGAGTCAAGCACGGAGAGCAAGCAGGGGCCCGCCCGTGCGCTGGGTGCCTGGTGGGTCACGGCTCCCAGCAGCTCCCAGCAGAAAGACAGCGACTTGTTCTGACAGACGAGGAGCGGTCGCGTCAGAAACAGAAGGCCAAGACCACTCAAAACCGCTCCCTTCGTCAAATAGCGTCAGCCCTGGCCCTTCCATGGAAGGTGGGTTGTTGACACGAAAAACATGGGGCGTGCAGGCCCTGTGGCTCAGTCCAGTAATCCCAGCACTTGGGAAGGCTGAGGTGGGAGGATCGCGTAAGCCTAGGAACAACATAGGGAGACCTCAACCCTTCAAAAAACAAAAACAGAAAACTAGCCAAGTGTGGTGGTGTGTGCCTATAGTCCCAGCTGCTTGGGAGGCTGAGGCAGAAGGACCACCTGAGCCCAGGAAGTGGAGGCTGCTGTGAGCCATAATGGTGCCACCGCGCTCCAGCGTGGGTAGAGACCCCAACTCAGCAAACATATGGGGAGTCATATAACTAGGTCATGGAATGATGGATCTCTCTGGAAATGCATTCCTAATTTGTCTTCATTTTAATCTTCTATCTTGATTTTTTTAAGTGACTGCATACATGGCCACCAATCACTCAGATCAATTACCCCAAAGTTACGATGATCCTGCCATACTTCGAACACTGACTCGTGAAGTCTACCATGAGGCACTAGGAAATTGAGAAGTCACATGTCCCATAAAGTTGTAAGTCTGAGGCCTGGTTTGTTGCCCCCACCAGGAGCCTGATTACAGATGTTTGTTCCAGGACAAAATTCCTATTCCATCTTGTGGGTCAGGATGTTCTGTGTCCTGGTTCTGAGTTTGGTATATAGCTACTTTGATTGAGGCAACTTGTAAAGTCAATCAACTAAAAAGGATTTCATTAGAAACCTGGGGTTTGATGCAAATCAAGCTGGCAGCCGTAAGATGTAATTAAAAGAAAACATGGCCGGGTGCAGTGGCTCATGCCTGTAATCCCAGCAAAGGAGAGGATTACCTGAGCTCAGGAGTACAAGACCAGCCTGAGCAACATGGCGAAACCTCGTCTCTACACAAATCAAAAAATCAGCTGGGGCTAGGCGCAGTAGTTCACGCCTATAATCCCAGCACTTTGGGAGGCCGAGGCAAGAGGACTGACTGAGCTTGCGGGTTCAAGACCAGCCTGGGCAACTTGGCGAGACCTCATCTCTACAATAAATCAAAAAAAGAAAAATCAACTGGACATGATGACGTGTGCCTGTAGTTCCAGCTACTTGGAAGGCGGAGGCGGAAGGATCGCCGGAGCCCAGCAGGCAGAGGCTGCGGTGGCCGTGAGCGTGCCACTACCCTCCAGCCTGAGTGAGAGTGAGACTTCAGCTCAAAAAGGAAAAAGTCAGCCTGGCATGGTGTCACATGCCTGTGGTTCCAGCTACCACACAGGCTGAGGAGGAAGGATCACCTGAGCCCAGCAGAGGATGAGCATGCCACTGCACTCCAGCCTGGGTGACAGAGTGAAACTCTGACTCAAAGAAAAAGAAAACATGGATGCTTTTATTTCTGTTTCTGTCAAGACATCACTGGAAGAGCATTTTCAAGGAGAGAAAGAACAAATCACGTTGTTGGACATGGTCGCTGAGGCAGGGCTTCCCAGAGCCTCTCCTGTGTGGGAGAGCCAGGCGTGAAGGCCTTCTGCTGTGAGGCCTCTGGGTCCTCTCCAAGGGGGCACAGAGAGGGCAAGCAGGGAGCTGGGAGTGGAGCGCCTGCTAGGAGGAGCCCTGGGACACCATGAAACAGCTGGCTGGGCTGAGGGCCCGCAGCAGGAGGAGAAAAGTTCAAATCAGAGGCCCCACAGGCAGGCACCTCGCCTCCTCTGCCAGTCCCGTGTGGGGCCCGAGAGCCCAATCCTGGCAGGTGCCGCTCACAGGCCTTCCAAGTAAAAGGAGGGTTCCCAGTCTTCCCGAGAAGACACGGGGAGAGCTCCAAGAAGGAGTCAAGTGCTTCTGGACAGCAACCCAACTCTGATGTTAATTCTACGCCTAAGGTCAGAACAGAATTGAACTAGAGAAGACACAGGCAAGAGATTGGAAGACAGATGCTCCCGAAATGACAAAAACTTCTTTCCACATGGCTCCTCTAAGGCTGCCTGCTGCTTTGGGTGCAGAGTTCAACTTGCCTCAGTTGAGCTATTTTGACCAAGAGATTTTCACCTCCAAGGAAGATGGAGATATTTCCTGGTTGTACTTGGTGGAATTTATGCTAATGCGCTCCCTATCTCGTGGCCATGTGAATAAATCACAAGGCTGCAGGGGGGAGGCACGTGCCCGACTTCTGAACCAGCTGGAAGGGCAAGGCAGGCCCCGCGGCGGGGGTCCCAGGCCCAAAGCTCAGCCTGGGACCTGCCAGCATCCCCTCGGAGAATGAACTTTCTTAGAGGCCCACGAGGTGCCAGGTGAGTTGAGGAGACCGGCTCTGCCCGAGGAGCCAACACGACCGAGGACAGAGGGCACAGCCTGGGAGTGCTTGCTGACCACGTCCCATGGCAGCCGGCCCTGGGAGTCCTCCTGCTTCCGCGGGCTACTGAGGCCACGGGCGCCCTTCCTCCCTTGGGATGTGGAAGGCAGAGGAGGCCTGGAGTGCCAGGCTATCGAGCTAGAGGTGGGGGGACGGAACGCACATCCTGCTCTGTCCTGCCCGCTGCCGTCCTCCCCCGTGAAAGTCCCCCGGCCCAGGGCCAGGATGGCCGGGGACCCCTCCTCCCGCCCCAGCGCAGACTCAGAATGTTGACTCCATGTTCCGGGCCCAATCACATGAGCTGCGGAGAGGCTTCAGTCACGATTTTTGTCTTAGGTTCAGCAAGAACAACACATAAACTCGTGAAACCTTACTAACAAGAATGCAAGCCGGGCTTGGTGGCTCAGCCTGTCATCCGCACCTTTGAGAGGCTGAGGTGAGCAGACTGCCTGAGCCCGCGGGTTCGAGACCCACCTGGACAGCGAGACCTCATCTCTACAATAAATCAA